GGTTTTTTCAATTCTTGGAAAATTTTTCCCCCGGGGGTTTTAAAAACATTTTTTACTTTTAGCCCCCAAATGCGTCCGATCCCAAAAATTTAAAACAAAAAAGGTACTTTTTTGCTAAATTTTAATTTGAAAGATTTTTTTGAACTTTGGTTTTTGGGCGGGTTTAAATTTTTGGGGGTGAAAATGTCTTTCCGGTTTTTTGGAACAAGGGTTGTAATGGTTGAAAACGTTTGGGTTAGGTTTTCCCTTTCCAAAAAACCGGAAAGGGAAGAAGGGCCTTTGGCATTTTATGTTAGCGGGGGAGACCCAAAGCGCATCGAATCCCCTGTCCTGGGGGGGGGAAACCCGTTTTAAGGAACGATTTAAAATCGTTAAACCACCATTTGCAACCCTAACGGAAAAAGGGTTCATTTTTCCCTTTTGGCCCGTAAAAAATGTGTCAGAAATTTTATAAAAATGGAAAAAAAATTTTTTAAAATTTTGGCCCCCAACCAGGTTTTTTTTCCCCTGTTTTTTCTCTAAAATTCCCACCCCCAGTGCAATAAAAAGGGTCCAAAAGAAATCAAAATGAAATATCGCCAATGTTCCCTTTTTGGGGGAAAAATGAACCCGGTTGCGGGGGGGTACGGGGTGTGGGCACCAAATTTCCCGGGGAAAACCCCGGTTTCCTCTCTGGGGTCCCCCTTTTCTGAAAACTTTAGGAAAAAATTTCCCGCTTTCTAAATAAAGGGTTTTTAAAGGGGGCGAAAGCTGGGGAAAAAGCTGGGCCTGGGGGGTTAATCGGAAAATAGGGAACCAATTTGAAGGGCAAAATTATTAAAAATTTGAACCGGGAATTTTTGGAAAAGGGGGTTTGTGAAAAATTTGGGGAATGCCCCAAAAAAGTTATTCCTAAAAGTGGGAAGGGGTTTAAAAAATTATGTTTAAGAAATTTGGGGGGAAAACGTAAAAGGGGGTTTAACCCCATTTGACCCTTTGGGGCCCGGGGGTACCTTCAAAAATTTTGGGTGACCCTTGGACCGTACAAACCAAAAATTACAGAAACAATCTATCAAACTGCGGGGACACAAAATTTCTATGTGGGTTCCCCTTCCCGCCCCCCAGGCTTAAAAAAAATTTTCCCGGGACGTTTTCCTAAATTTTCCCCCCAAACCGGGTTGGGGTTAAAAGCCCCAAACTACCGCCGAAAGCATTAATGACCTCGAAATTTACAATTTCACCAGACTCTTATCCTGGGGGAAAGGGTCCCCGCCCCTTAAACAGTACCCCACAGGTCACCTGAAGGGAACCCAGGGGCCCCACACTTCCTTTGGCAAGAATTCTAAAAATCACTTCCTTTTTTGGTCCCTTCTGGGTTCCCCCCGGGAACTAAAGGAAACCGCCCCGAAGGGTTTTGCAGGGCAACTAAAAGGGGGTTTGGCCGCCTTTTTAACACCGGTTAAGGGTTTTTACCCCTGGGACTTTTGGGTTAAACCCCAAAACCCCTTTTTAAATTTAAATTTCGTCTCGCACCCTGGTAAAAAGGGTTTTTTTGGGTTTTTTTTTCTTAAACAAGATTTTGGGATTTCTAAAAAAAATTTTGGGTTTTTTTAAAATTTTTTCCGGAAAAAATGGGGATTTTTTGGTTGTATTTTTTAAAGATTTTGGGGTTTCCCAAGTAGAGAAAGTGCAAAGTTTTCAACAGACTAGTCCCAGAGCTACGGGATTGTCCTACGAAGAAAGGTTGAGGGAAATCGCCTGACGACACTGGAGGCCAGGAGGGTCAGGGGAGACATGATAACGACATATAAAATACTGCGCGGAATAGACAAGGTGGACAAAGACAGGATGTTCCAGAGATGGGACACAGACACAAGAGGTCACAATTGGAAGTTGAAGACTCAGATTGAATCGAAGGGATGTTAGGAAGTATTTCTTCAGTCATAGAGTAGTCAAGTCATGGAATAGTCTAGAAAGTGAAGTAGTGGAGGCGGGAACCATACATAGTTTTAAGGCGAGGTATGATAAAGCTCATGTAGCAGGGAGAGAGAGGACCTAGTAGCAATCAGTGAAGAGGCGGGGCCAGGAGCTATGACTCGACCCCTGCAACCACAAATAGGTGAGTACAAATAGGTGAGTACACACACACACACACACACACACACACACACACACACACACACACATACACACACACACACACACGTCACCTAATATGAATAAACAAATGAAAATAAACAATTTAACAATTAACAATTTATTAACAATTAACAACTTTAAAATAATTAATAAATTAACCGTCGTTAACAATTAACAACATAATAACAATTAACCATCATTAACAAAATAACAATTAGTAACATAATAATATATTAAACTACAACTTATATAATTAACAGTAAGACAATGATGATGATAATAATAATAATGACAATAATAGCAGGAGTAATGATAATAATGATGATAATAGTAACAGTAATGATAATGATAATAGTAACGTTAATGATAACGATGATAATAGTAATAATAATAGCAATAATAATATTGGTAATAATGATAAAAAGATGATAATAATAATGATAATGATATTAATAGTAATAATAATGATGATAATGATACTAGCAATTATAATAATGATTAAACAGATGATAATAATTAACATCAATTAACATCATGTTAACATTAATCAATAAATTAAACTGAGTGAGCATTAATGACGCGTAAAAAACAGTTTAGAATGAAGTTACCTAAAGTGAGGGCGAAACGTCGGAGTAATAGTTAACTAAAATAAGGGCGAAACGTCGGTGTTAATAAAGTTAACTAAAGTAATGGCGAAACGTCGGCGGTAATAAAGTTAACTAAAGTGTGTGCGAAACGTCGGAGTTAAAAAGTTAACTAAAGTAATGGCGAAACGTCGGAGTAATAAAGTTAACTACAATGAGGGCGAAACGTCGGAGTTAATAAAGTTAACTAAAGTAATGGCGAAACGTCGGGGGCAATAAAATTAACTAAAGTGAGGGCGAAACGTCGGAATCAAAAAGTTAACTAAAGTAATGGCGAAACGTAGGAGTAATAAAGTTAACTAAAATGAGGGCGAAACGTCGGAGTTAATAAAGTTAACTAAAATAATGGCGAAACGTCGGGGGTAATAAAGTTAACTAAGATGTGGGCGAAACGTCGGGGCAATAAAGATAACTAAAGAGAGGGCGAAACGTTGGGGGTAATAAGGTTAAAATGAGGGCGAAACGTCGGAGACAATAAAGTTAACTAAAGGGTGGGCGAAACGTCGGTGTAATGAAGATAACTAAAGCGAGGGAGAAACGTCGGGGGTAATAAAGTTAGCTAAAGTGAGTGCGAAACGTCGCTGGTAATGATGTTAACTAAAGTGATGGCGAAACGTCGCTGGCAATACAGTTAGCTAAAGTGGGGGCGAAACGTCGCTGGTAATGAAGTTAACTAAAGTGAGGGCGAAACATTGCTGGTAACAAAGTTACCTAAAGTGATGGCTAAACGTCGCTGGTAATAAAGTTAACTAAAGTGAGGGCGAAACATCGAGGGTAATAAAGTTAACTAAAGTGAGGGCGAAACGTCGGGGGTAATGAAGTCATTACTGAATTTTAACATCATTTAACCAAAGTAACCATTAGTAATAATGCAATTTGTCTTTGATCCAAGGTCTGTGAGAGTGAGTCCAGTCCCTTGGAGCAGCCCTCAGTCCCTGGAAGCAGCCCTCAGTCCCTGGAAGCAGCCCTTAGTCCATGGAAGCAACCTTCAGTCCCTGGAAGCATCCCTCAGTTCTTGGGAGCAGCCCTCAGTCCCTAGGAGTAGCTCTCAGTCCCTGGGAGCAGCCCTCAGTCCCTTAAAGCAGCCCTCAGTTCCTGGAAGTAGCCCTCAGTTCCTGGAAGCAGCCCTCAGTTCTTGGGAGCAGCCCTCAGTCCCTGGGAGTAGCTCTCAGTCCCTGGGAGTAGCCCTCAGTCCCTGGAAGCAGCCCTCAGTCCCTGGAAGCAGCCCTCAGTCCCTGGAAGCAGCCCTCAGTTCTTGGGAGCAGCCCTCAGTCCCTTGGAGTAGCTCTCAGTCACTAGGAGCAGCCCTCAGTCCCTGGAAGCATCGCTCAGTCCCTGGAAGCAGCCCTCAGTCCCTGGAAGCAGCCCTCAATCCCTGGAAGCATCGCTCAGTCCCTGGAAGCAGCCCTCAGTTCTTGGGAGCAGCCCTCAGTCCATGGGAGTAGCCCTCAGTCCCTGGGAGCAGCCCTCAGTTCCTAGGAGTAGCCCTCAGTCCCTGAGAGTAGCCCTCAGTCTCTGGGAGTAACCCTCAATCCCTGGGAGTAGCCCTCAGTTCCTGGGAGAAACCCTTAGTCCCTGGGAGTAGCCCTCAGCCCTTGAAAGTAGCCCTCAGTCCCTGGGAGTAGCCCTCAGCCCTTGAAAGTAGCCCTGAGTTCCTGGGAGTAGCCCTCAGTTCCTGGGAATAGCCTTCAGTCCCTGGGAGTAGCCCTCATTCCCTGGGAGTAGCCCTCAGTCCCTGGGAGTAGCCCTGAGTTCCTGGGAGTAGCCCTCAGTTCCTGGGAATAGCCCTCAGTCCCTGGGAGTAGCCCTCGTCCCCTGGTAGTAGCCTTCAGTTCTTGGGAGTAACCCTCAGTCCCTGAAAGTGGCCTTCAGTAACTAGGGTGGAGGAGGTCTCGGGACCAGCCATCAGTAGCTGGGTTGCAGGTGCTCTTGGGACCAGCCCTCAGTAGCTGGGTTGCAGGTGGTCCTGGGATCAGCCCTCAGTAGCTGGATTGCAGATGGTCCTGGGACCAGCCATCAGTAGCTGGGTTGCAGGTGGTCCTGGGACCAGCCATCAGTAGCTGGGTTGCAGGTGGTCCTGGGACCAGCCATCAGTAGCTGGGTTGCAGGTGGTCCTGGGACCAGCCATCAGTAGCTGGGTTGCAGGTGGTCCTAGGATCAGTCCTCAGTAGCTGAGTTGCAGGTATTCCTGGGACCAGCCATCAGTAGCTGGGTTGCAGGTGGTCCTAGGACCAGCCATCAGTAGCTGGGTTGAAGGAAGTCTTGGAAGGTCCTCTTCATCCTGGAGTACACAGTCTTGAAGACCTCCATCATGGTCTTGGCTGAGTACGGACACTGAGGATACAGCAGGCTACACTTACCCTGTGATCCCTGGGAGAATCCTACGTAGGAGGCGTAGGAGTAGTAGAGCTGAGGCGTAGGTACTACTTGGAGGTCCTGCTCAGACACCACACCCCTGGGGGAGGTAGCAACACAGGGTGGAAGGTCAGATCCATGCATTTGAACAGTCGAGAATGCATACACACACACACCAAGTGTGTATAGTGTATATATGTGTTTGTGTGTGTGTGTGTACTAACCTATTTGTGGCTGCATGGGTCGATTCACAGCTCCTGGCCCCGCCTCTTCGCTGGTCGCTACTAGGTTCACTCTCTCCCTGCTCCAAGAGATTCATCTTATCTCTTCTTAAAGCTAAGTATGGATCCTGCCTCCACTGCATCATTGTCCAGACTATTCCACTTCCTGACAATTCTATGACTGAAGAAACACTTCCTAACATCCCTGTAACTCACGTGAGTCTTCAACTTCCAACTGTGACCCCATGTTGCTGTGTTCCGTCTCTGAAACATCCTGTCCCTATCCACCTCGCCATTTCCTCTCAGTATTTTATGTGTTGTTATCTTGTCCTCTCTACCCCTCCTGTCTTCCAGTGTTGTCAGGTTGATATCCTTAACCTCTCCTCGTGTGTGTGTATAGCGTGTGAATGTCACAGTAGGCGTTCGTCGGGACGATGTTTACCCCCTCTGTGTAGAACTTTATTCGTGGTTTTGATAGAGCTTTATACAAAGCGATACCCAATTTAAAAGCTCAGTCTAGAGTCAGCTTCTCTCCTGCACATCTGCAGTGTAGAGTCTACACGGTGTGGAGCCCACACAGTGTTTCAACACAGCAGTGCCATGAAACGTCGACATTTCACTGTAACACATCTCTATCACGTCAGATATGTAACGTGTCTCTGTCATGTTTCACCCATGCTACGTAAGGTGACGTGAATCAGCTTTCCACACAGTGCTAATGAATCGTCACAAATATAAGTCTTGCTGTCGAGTCAGATGTTAGTGTGGTTGCAACCGTGCAACCATGGCTGGGAAATGTGCTGACTGGTTGACTGATGGTCTCCTGCACCCCCATAAACCCCCATAACCTCTGAGATGTTTTGTGAACTATGGTGCCCATACCCATGTCCACTCACACTATATGGTTCTACTTGATAGTACTACTACTACTACTACTACTACTACTACTACTACTACTACTACTACTACTACTAATAATAATAATAATAATAATAATAATAATAATAATCTTCCACTACCATCATTCTAACACAAATCTAGACAAGTTACACCTCAAAGCTAAGCATAATTCCCAACAACAAAATATCAACATCTATGCCAAATTCTTGACATATTTCAACCTTCCCTCAGGGCTAAATACAATATACTCATGTTAATTTCAACATGTGAAGGCCAGACACGAGTGTTACAATTAACTTGTTAAAATCTCCGGCTCCGTTTATAAATAAATCAGGTTTGGGTAATCTATAGCAACTGCGTCTGATCAGACATTAAACACTAAGGTATTTTTGCATATTGAATATGGAGGATCTTGACTCGGTCATGGCGGAGTGATGATGGGAGGTGATAATGTCATGTCGTACAGAGAACAAGCGTTGTATTGTGACAACGTTGGGCTCTGGAGCTTTATCCTGTCAACACCAGGAATGTAAGAACGCGGTCTGTGTGCGAGTGAGGTGTTAGCAGTTGATGTACCCGGCAGACGCGACATGCAGAGATCATGTCAGCTGGGAGGAATGCCCGTACTGATGGACGTAGTAGAACTCTGGTGGAAACTCACCAGCTGGTGCAACATGTACGTGACTGGTTCACTTTCTATGTCTGTAATATTATGAGTGTCAGAGGGTTTTATACTGAAGGTGCTGTGGAGAAATTTGTCTCCAACCAGGTGGTTAAGCCCCCTGTCTCTCTCTCTACGTTCCCACACTGACAGTGCAGATGGGGACCAAAGGGGTCATGACTCAAACTGAAGGTACCTGCTTTTGCTCAATGGTGTCAGTGTTGAAAGACTGAATTTCTGTATCTTCTTGTTGTTTTACGTGTGTCAAGGGTCAGCCAAATTTCAGGAGCCCTGGTTCTGCTCGATGGTGTCTTTTAATAGTAGAAACTTTCCACGAGTCTTATCCGCTTCTCTTAATACAAGTTTGTTATGGTTCGACGACATGGAGTGAATAACGCATGCGCTGGAGGTCTCCACTCGGCAAACTTATGGCACCTACTTTGAGGACAAGATTGGTAGCCTTCCACGGCACTCTGTATGTTAGTCCGAGTGGAGACCACTAGCGCATCCGTTATTCACTCCATGTCGTCGAAGTATAACAAACTTGTATTAAGAGAAGCAGATAAAACTCGTACAAAGTTCCTACCATTAAAAGACACCATCAAGCAGAACCAGGGCTCCTACAATTTGGCTGACCCTTGGCACACGTAAAACAAGAAGATACAGAAATTCAATCTATCAACACTGACACAAAATTTGCTAATGTGTTGCACTAGCAGCTAGGTCTTCTGATTAACTGAGCTACTAACATTACCCCCCCCCCCGGCTACTATAAACAGCGTAACCTGAGATGACCTCACTTGAAATACGCCAGAAGTCTCCTCTCCTGGGGGTCAAGAGGTGACCCGGCCTTAGCAGCCAGCTCACAGGTCAGCCTGAGGGAACACCAGTCACTGTCCTGGGCGAAGATCCTCTCGAAGTCGGCTTCCATCTCTGGGTCCCTCTGTGTCTCCGCCAACAAGGAACTCAGGTCACGCTTTCTGAGGGAGAGGTTTGAGGTCAAGTCACGCGTGCTGTGGAAAGGAAGCTCTGAAACCGTGAGGGTGAAGAAACGACTAGGGAACAAGTGGAATTGAAGACTAAAACTCATAAACTGTGATGATACTAGCGGAAGAGCGTGTCGTAAGAAAGATGGGTAGTGTCGTAAGAAAGATGGGTAGTGTCGTAAGAAAGATGGGTAGTGTCGTAAGAAAGATGGGTAGTGTCGTAAGAAAGATGGGTAGTGTCGTAAGAAAGATGGGTAGTATCGTAAGAAGGATGGGAAGTGTAATCCCCTATTTGTACTCCCCTGTTTGTGGTTGCAGGGGCTGAGTCTCAGCTCCTGGTCCCGACTCTCTGTGATGGCCGCTATTGAGTTCTCTCCTCTAGCTCGTGAGCAGTATCATACCTAGTCTTAAAGCTGCGTGTGGATCCTGCGTCTACCACTATCTAGTGTGTTCCACTTCCTGACCACTCCATGGCTAAAAAAGGTATTTCCTGACGTCTCTGTGACTCTCTGACCTGAAGATCACTGCTAGTGGTCCTCACAGCTCACCTGAAGATCACTGCTAGTGGTCCTCACAGCTCACCTGAAGATCACTGCTAGCGGTCCTCACAGCTCACCTGAAGATCACTGCTAGTGGTCCTCACAGCTCACCTGAAGATCACTGCTAGTGGTCCTCACAGCTCTCATGAAGATCACTGCTAGTGGTCCTCACAGCTCACCTCTAGCAAACTTCTTTGTCATTCCTAGAGAGCTTCCCTCCTCTTTCTGGTGTAACTATAGCAACTCTGACTCAGACTGGGCTTTACATGCTATGTCATTCTCAAACTGTCGTTCGGTCTGTCTTCTTACACATCGGAATTAATTTTCTGGTTCTTCTGCTCACTTCCCTGTTCTCTGGCATTCTTTGGCTGTCTATATTTCTCCCACGCTTTTCCACTTTTCAGCTTTCGCCTCTCTGCACCTCTGGTAAACCATGGATTCACTCTCTTCTTGCCTTTGTTTTTGCTATGAATTATTCATCTGCTTCCTGGCACTCTCCAGCTACATATTCCATTAATTCATTTGCCGTCTTTTCATCTAGTTTATTATCACGGCACTCAAACTAGGAATTTGCTCATGCTTGTGATGTGTCCTTTTAAAGTCAGGTTTTCCCTTCCTTCGTATTTTGCGTTTCTTTCCAGGTTCACTTTCACAAGGTAACTGAACCTCAGGACTGTGTGGTCGCTAGCAACGCTTTTAGTTTTCTTTCTGCTATTGTGCTCTTTATTGATGGGGGGGATGAAAGTTCTGTTCTCCTGGAGGCTGAGGGTAAGAGTGAGTGCTGGAAGGGGTTAAGACCATGGGCGTGGGTGTCGGAGGATGGGAAATGTAGGGAACAAATGGATATGGAACTTCTGCACCTGCCATTTTGTCACATGGTTCTCTTTTCCTGACTTCGACTGTTTCTTGTTCTCCCCTTCAGTTATTCCCTCTCCTGTTACGTTCGGTTTCGACCGAGATATACACGATGATATCTTCTCGTCCTCCTCAACGTCCTCCTCAACACTGATTTTCGTCTTAAGACACGATCTCGTGCCTCGTCTGATGCGAGGGTCGGTTTAACCGGCTGTGTTTTGTCCCCTTCGTAAGAAAGATGGGCAAGGAAGATGGAAAGAGTGTGCCGTAAGAAAGATGTGAAGAGTATACCGTAAGAAAGATGGGAGGAGGCAGTTGCAAAGGCTTTTTTCCCTTCAACGAATCGACAGAGATGATGTGAGAGCCTCGCTAGACAAACACGACCGAGATCTCTTGCCTCTGACACTTGTATTTCATGGGACGCTACGGTTGCTTCAAGTGTTCTGGGGAGAGATTTGTGTGTAGAGTTTTTAAGTATGGACTGAGAGTCCCAGAAATGGATGCTAATGTGGCCTAATTTTACAAGACGATTGAGACTCTCTCTCTCTCTCTCTCTCTCTCTCTCTCTCTCTCTCTCTCTCTGTCTCTCTCTCTCTCTCTCTCTCTCTCTCTGTCTCTGTCTCTCTCTCTCTCTCTCTCTCTCTCTCTCTCTCTCTCTCTCTCTCTCTCTCTCTCTCTCTCTCTCTCTCTCTCTCTCTCTCTGTCTTTCTCTCTCCTACAATCACAGACAATTCGATGATTTTACACGAGCATATACAAATCGCCCTGTATACATAGAAACAAATTCCCAAACTGAGATATCAAAATACATGAAAAAATATATAAAACATGCGTAAGCTGTCTTCTGCGTATTAACAAAGTTGAACCCTATGAGAGAAGAACCAGCAATGGTTCATGAAGCGAGACAGATTCATCTACCGCCACCACCAGCACCTTGCAACAATACTTCCTGACTCAGGGTTGGGAATTTCTTAGGACTGAAAGACTGATAAATTTAAAAAGAGGACTCCAGTCTTGACTGAGGTCCTACCAGCGGCCTGCAGAGGTTAAAAGTAGTGTCTCTTACGACCCAGACGTCCAGGGAAGAGGATGTTGTTACTGTTGGGATTTACAGTAAGCCTGGTCACGGACCGGGCCGCGGGGGCGCTGACCCCCACGGAACACCCTCCAGGTATACTCCAGGTAAACTCTCTAATGACGAATGAGACACTTGTGCAACATTTGGAAATCATTACCGAGGAAACGTTTCGCCAGCCAGTGGCTTCTTCAGTCCAATACAGAGAAGAACGGTGAATAATGATGAGAATGGGGTAATCAGTCCCTCAGTCTGGAGTCGATGTGTTCACATCATCAGTCTTATTCTTCAACTTATCTGTTTTCTGAAGCACTTACATCACACGTCCTATGACGCTCCTCTTTAAAGTGTAATTATTTGTAAGTGCGAAGGGGAGAGTGCATCCACGAGTGGATGACGTATGGAAGAACACTTACAGCGCATGATTTTCCACTCTGCATTTCAATTTTTTCGACCTAAGTTACAAAACTTGGCATTTACAGAGGAGTTTTGTAAGGGGGGGTTATTTATCAGTAATATTGTCCTGTCTACTGGTACTGCAGTAAGGTGGTTGAGTGACGCAGGTGGTTGAGTGATGCAGGTGGTTGAGTGATGCAGGTAGCTGAGTAACGCAGGTGGTTGAGTGAGGCAGGTGGTTGAGTGACGCAGGTGGTTGAGTGATGCAGGTGGTTGAGTGATGCAGGTGGTTGAGTGATGCAGGTGCTTGAGTGAGAGGTGGATGAGTAATGCAGGTGGTTGAGTGATGCAGGTAGCTGAGTAACGCAGGTGGTTGAGTGAGGCAGGTGGCTGAGTAACGCAGGTGGTTGAGTGAGGCAGGTGGTTGAGTGATGCAGGTGGTTGAGTGAGGCAGGTGGTTGAGTGATGCAGGTGGTTGAGTGATGCAGGTGGTTGAGTGAGGCAGGTGGTTGAGTGAGGCAGGTGGTTGAGTGATGCAGGTGGTTGAGTGAGGCAGGTGGTTGAGTGATGCAGGTGGTTGAGTGAGGCAGGTGGTTGAGTGATGCAGGTGGTTGAGTGAGGCAGGTGGTTGAGTAACGCGGGCGGCTGAGTGACGCTACACACATGACAGTGACAGCCAAGGTGATTCCTTGCACAAATTTATGCTTTCATACTACAGTTAAATTTCCGTTTTTCATTGACTATTGTCGTTATCACATTCATAAGAGACGCTAAACCCGGGTGGGCACATACAATAAACGTTAACCTGAAACACAAGTGGAGGTGTGGCGAGTGTGCACAGAGAGAGAGTTACATCAACAGTCGGAACTGCTAGGAGCTTCAAAAGAGATCCTGTATCGCCTTACCTAATAGAGGATCGAGACCTACAACCCTTCATTTCGCTGAATAACCCACACAGGTTTAGCACTTCATAATAATGATAATGAATGAGACGCTTAGTTAAATAGGGTTAAAGGCTCAAAAGACCATTAAAGCTGTACGTCACCACTTCACTATTAGTCACAACACAGTAATTCCTAAAATATGGATTAAACTCTAAGTGTGTACTGTACATTCTGACGTGTACGTGTACTGATGCTCTCAGTGAATACACGTCAAGAAGATATATATTCATCAGTGTACAGAGTTCATGAATGATGGTTAACTTGTGATTCGTAAAGAACAATAGGCACAATACCGTGACTGGATCAATACACAAATAACCCGTACATAGGAGAGAGGAGCTTACGACGACGTTTCGGTCCGACTTGGACCATTTACAGAGTCACTGTGACTTTGTAAATGGTCCAAACGTTGTCGTAAGCTCCTCTCTCTATCTTCCCTGTGTGGGTTGTGTAGTGACTCTTAAAGATGGGTAGATACCTGCGTCCCCCGCCAGTTCTTCCTCCGAAGAGTATAGCGTGAGCGATGGTGAAGAGTGTGATGGCCGTGGCTGTACCCAGACTACCGAAGAGCAGTACTCCCTCTCCTGTAAGATGAAACACTGTGTTACCTCCACCACCACCAGCAGTACCCAGACTGTTAGGTAAGACACATATGCAACAGTTAGGTATCTTTATTATGAAACGTTTCGCCTACACAGTAGGCTTCTTCAGTCAAGTACAGAAAAGTTGATAGAAGCAGAAGATACTTGAAGACGATGTAATCAGTCCATTACCCTTAAAGTTTTGAGGTGGTCAGTCCCTCAGTCTGGAGAAGAGCATTGTTCCATAGTATGAAACAATATGGAGATGAAGTGACAGGATGGAGCTTTTTATAGCGCAAAGAGGCGAGACGTAGGCCACTAGGAGAGGTAAGAACTCAGATATTCAATCTGTCAGACACTGCAACACAAGGGTATCTTGGTACAGACCTGCAATCAACTTCGACAACTTCCACTAGTGAGAGCGGCTGGATTTGAGAGGGACCTGACCTCTCAACATCTGAGTTCTTACCTCTCCTAGTGGCCTACGTCTCACCTCTTGGCGCTATAAAAAGCTCCATCCTGTCACTTCATCTCCATATTGTTTCATACTATGGAACAATGCTCTTCTCCAGACTGAGGGACTGACCACCTCAAAACTTTAAGGGTGATGGACTGATTACATCGTCTTCAAGTATCTTCTGCTTCTATCAACTTTTCTGTACTTGACTGAAGAAGCCTACTGTGTAGGCGAAACGTTTCATAATAAAGATACCTAACTGTTGCATATGTGTCTTACCTAACAACCTGTCGGTATTTTATACCATTTTAATGTTCAATCTGTCAGACACTGCAACACAAGGGTATCTTGGTACAGACCTGCAATCAACTTCGACAACTTCCACTAGTGAGAGCGGCTGGATTTGAGAGGGACCTGACCTCTCAGCATCTGAGTTCTTACCTCTCCTAGTGGCCTACGTCTCACCTCTTGGCGCTATAAAAAGCTCCATCCTGTCACTTCATCTCCATATTGTTTCATACTATGGAACAATGCTCTTCTCCAGACTGAGGGACTGACCACCTCAAAACTTTAAGGGTGATGGACTGATTACATCGTCTTCAAGTATCTTCTGCTTCTATCAACTTTTCTGTACTTGACTGAAGAAGCCTACTGTGTAGGCGAAACGTTTCATAATAAAGATACCTAACTGTTGCATATGTGTCTTACCTAACAACCTGTCGGTATTTTATACCATTTTAATGTTCAATCTGTCAGACACTGCAACACAAGGGTATCTTGGTACAGACCTGCAATCAACTTCGACAACTTCCACTAGTGAGAGCGGCTGGATTTGAGAGGGACCTGACCTCTCAGCATCTGAGTTCTTACCTCTCCTAGTGGCCTACGTCTCACCTCTTGGCGCTATAAAAAGCTCCATCCTGTCACTTCATCTCCATATTGTTTCATACTATGGAACAATGCTCTTCTCCAGACTGAGGGACTGACCACCTCAAAACTTTAAGGGTGATGGACTGATTACATCGTCTTCAAGTATCTTCTGCTTTTATCAACTTTTCTGTACTTGACTGAAGAAGCCTACTGTGTAGGCGAAACGTTTCATAATAAAGATACCTAACTGTTGCATATGTGTCTTACCTAACAACCTGTCGGTATTTTATACCATTTTAATGTTCAGTACCCAGACTACCGAAGAGCAGTACTCCCTCTCCTGCAAGATGAAACACTGTGTTACCTCCACCACCAGCACAATTATTTCCTTCCCCCCCCCGTCTCTCTCTCCCTTCCCTTCACCTTTGCAGTCTCCCTTCTCTCACCCCACCTTTCCATCTGTGTCCACAGGCCCATCACATTACCCTCAATAAAACGTCTAGTGTTGTGATTAGGTGAAATATGTGAAGGGTGGGGTGTGTGTGTGTGAGTATGTGTGTGTGTGTGTGTGTGTGTTTGTGTGTGTGTGTGTGTGTGTGTGTGTGTACTCACCTAGTTCTGGTTGCAGGGGTCAAGTCACAGCTCCTGGCCTGTGTGTGCGCGCGTGTGCCCACACACTATATAACTGCATCTGTATCTATTTTTCCATCTTCACTGCATGATGCACAGTGACCAACCCTGGGTCATTCTCTGTTCTCAGCTCACCCAGATTTCAGGCACATATACCTTTTTTTCGCCTTATACACCCGTATAGCCAAAATGAATAATGTTACACCTACAAACAACGGAATTCCTTCTCCACAATAGCGACCACTGCGTCACCGTGACCACAGGCAGTCTAAGAAATATTTCCTAAGCTTAAGAAAGGGGTGGGAGAGGAACTAGGCACACAGAGAGGTGGCAAACAAATCCCTTAACACCTTCCTAAATAGATAATGTTGGTCACTAGAGGTGAGAACTCATACTGCCAGTTAATAATAATAATAATAATAATAATAATAATAATAATAATAATAATAATAATAATAATAATAACAAAACGAGAGTATAAGGTATGAGTGAACTGGTTCAGTACGCGTATCACACACTCTTCCAACACTGTGTGTATACTCGCCTATTTGTAGTTGCAGATCCCGATTCACATCTCCTGGCCCCACGCCTTCGCTGGTCGTTACTAGGTCTACTCTCTCTCCCTGTTCCAAGAGTTTTATCATACCTCTTCTTAAAGCTGTGTATGGATTTTGCCTCCACTACATCACTCTCCAGGTTGTTCCACTTCCTGACAGCTGTGCGTGTGTGGTTATTATTCTCTGTTGGAAATAAAGAGTTTCGCTGCTACAGACAATGTCTACTGCTGCAGACAATGTCTCTGCTGCTGCAGACAATGTCTCTGCTGCTGCAGACAATGTTTCTGCTGCTGCAGACAATGTCTCTGCTGCTGCAGACAATGTCTCTGCTGCTGCAGACAATGTCTCTGCATGGTGTCTTGGTTGACCAACTTTGTGGTCGCTACAAAACAATGACCTAGCGACATGTTCAATACCACTCTGATGTTTACAACATTGTGTCCTCGCTGTATTTCCTATTTTTGTCCTTGTTACAGCAGCACGAACATCTTGGGAAAATCTTGAGACAGTCTTCAAATTGTCTGGGAAGAGTTGTTTGTTGTTGTTTGTTCTTGTTCTTCTTGTTCCCATGGAAGAGGAATGTAAGAGCCACGTAAGTTCCCCCGTCGTCTAATATCATGTTTATTTTTCCTCTATAATGTACCTTGTCCATATTTACCATCGCGTTTTCTTTGTCTGTTTCGTAAGGTGAAGTCCAGGATCTTTCCTTAATTCATGGTATAACTTAACAAATCTTTAAGGATAATTGTGTTGTAGAGGCCTGAGTAAAGCTCACAGGAAATGTGATAGTGATTATGAGCAAGGTAGATTATAGTGGAAAAATGAACACATTAGAAGACAGGGGAAGTTAGGTGCGTCTTAAAGGCCACAACGGCTCGCCAGAGAAATTGAAGGTCTACCTTGTATCGTACCTATGAAACCTCCTCCTCTTTCTTGAAGGAGATGTTAAAGGTCTACCTTGGAGCCTTCTCCCTGCCTGGAAAAGAAAATCTTAAGGTCTGCAACGGGGTTTTTTAACTATGAACTCCTTACCTTGTCTGGGAGGAAGAATATTGATGTTGTTTTTGCGGTGGATTCCTCCGTCTTGACGTTAGAAAAAACACGGATTGGATTTTTTTTGTACTATCAATGAGGTGTAGGCGCTGAGGCGGCCTTACTGCTTAAAATTAAAATAAAATGTTGGGTGCAGAGATTTTCTAGGTTACTTTGTTTCGCTTTTCTTTTTTTTTTGCCAAGTGTTGTGAGTTGGACTGGAATATATATTCTTAACTGTATTAGTATTGGAAGTTTGGTATATATGTGTTGTTGTCAGGTGGTGTGTGTGTGTGTGTGTGTGTGTGTGTGTGTGTGTGTGTGTGTGTGTGTGTGTGTGTGTGTGTGTGTGTGTGTGTGTGTGGTGTACGGGAATCGGCGGACACACACACGGGAGAAGGGAGAGAGTGGACCTAGACCTAGCAGCCACCAGCGAAGAGGTGAGGTCGGGAGCTATGAATCGACCCCTGCAACCACAAATAGGTGAGTACACACGTAAACACACACACACACATTTCTCCCTCATGCATAGAAATTAAAAACTACTATTTTTTTACATCATGAATACCTTCATCATACATTACAGCCTCTCACCCTACACCAGCCCTTCCCTGCCTGACGTCACACCTCTCACCCTACACCAGCCCTTCCCTGCCTGACGTCACACCTCTCCCCACCAACCCTGCCTTACCTCGACCCCTCCCTGCCAGTCCTGCCTCACCTCGACCCCTCCCTGCCAGTCCTGCCTCACTTCGACCCCTCCCTGCCAGTCCTGCCTTACCTCAACCCCTCCCTGCCAGTCCTGCTTCACCTCGACCCCTCCCTGCCAGTCCTGCCTCACCTCGACCCCTCCCTGCCAGTCCTGCCTCACCTCGACCCCTCCCTGCCAGTCCTGCTTCACCTCGACCCCTCCCTGCCAGTCCTGCCTTACCTCAACCCCTCCCTGCCAGTCCTGCTTCACCTCGACCCCTCCCTGCCAGTCCTGCCTCACATCGACCCCTCCTTGCCAGTACTGCCCTATTATTATTATTATTATTATTATTATTATTATTATTATTATTATTATTATTATTATTATTATTATTATTATTATTTAGTGGAGAGTGATGTATCTAGGGGATAGGTGAGAGCAGGCCATTGATACTGTATCAGTTAACCAACAAGCAGGTCATTGATGGTGGTATTAACTTACCCACGAGCAGGTCATTGATGGTGGTATTAACTTACCCACGAGCAGGTCATTGATGGTGATATCAACTTACCCACGAGCAGGTCATTGATGGTGGTATTAACTTACCCACGAGCAGGTCATTGATGGTGGTATTAACTTACCCACGGGCAGGTCATTGATGGTGGTATTAACTTACCCACGAGCAGGTCATTGATGGTGATATCAACTTACCCACGAGCAGGTCATTGATGGTGGTATTAACTTATCCACGGGCAGGTCATTGATGGTGATATCAACTTACCCACGGGCAGGTCATTGATGGTGGTATCAACTTACCAACGGGCAGGTCATTGATGGTGATATCAACTTACCCATGGGCAGGTCATTGATGGTGGTATCCACTTACCCATGGGCAGGTCAATGATGGTGGTATCAACTTACCCACGGACAGGTCATTGATGGTGGTATCAACTTACCCACGGACAGGTTATTGATGGTGGTATTAACTTGCCCACGGACAAGTCATTGATGGTGATATCAACTTACCCACGGACAGGTTATTGATGGTGGTATTAACTTACCCACGGACAAGTCATTGATGGTGGTATTAACTTACCCACGGGCAGGTCATTGATGGTAGAGGCCAGAGGAATACGGTAGATAGAGTTACCAGAGCCATCAGTGGTAACGTAGAAGAGACGAGGTCTTGCTGGTTCGATCCCGCGTGGGTTGTCTGCGTAAAGAAACACACACATATGAAGTCCTGTAGCGAAAGATGATGAAAAAACGTACATAGAGAGGTTCCAGAGAAAACAGGAAGGAACTGTTGTGTTTGGTCCTGCAGAGAAAACAGGAAGGAACTGTTGTGTTTGGTCCTGCAGAGAACATAGGAAGGAACTGTTGTGTTTGGTCCTGCAGAGAAAACAGGAAGGAACTGTTGTGTTTGGTCCTGCAGAGAAAACAGGAAGGAACTGTTGTGTTTGGTCCTGCAGAGAAAACAGGAAGGAACTATTGTGTTTGGTCCTGCAGAGAAAATAGGAAGGAACTATTGTGTTTGGTCCTACAGAGAAAATAGGAAGGAACTATTGTGTTTGGTCCTACAGAGAAAATAGGAAGGAACTATTGTGTTTGGTCCTGCAGAGAAAACAGGAAGGAACTATTGTGTTTGGTCCTGCAGAGAAAACAGGAAGGAACTATTGTGTTTGGTCCTGCAGAGAAAATAGGAAGGAACTATTGTGTTTGGTCCTGCAGAGAAAATAGGAAGGAACTATTGTGTTTGGTCCTGCAGAGAAAACAGGAAGGAACTATTGTGTTTGGTCCTGCAGAGAAAATAGGAAGGAACTATTGTGTTTGGTCCTACAGAGAAAATAGGAAGGAACTATTGTGTTTGGTCCTGCAGAGAACATAGGAAGGAACTGTTGTGTTTGGTCCTGCAGAGAAAACAGGAAGGAACTATTGTGTTTGGTCCTGCAGAGAAAATAGGAAGGAACTATTGTGTTTGGTCCTGCAGAGAAAATAGGAAGGAACTATTGTGTTTGGTCCTGCAGAGAAAATAGGAAGGAACTATTGTGTTTGGTCCTGCAGAGAGAAACTAGAGGAAATAATTGCCAGGGATCCTTCACAGAGAATGAGATTATTATTAGTATTATTTATATTTTTATTATTTTATTATTATTATTATTATTATGATTATCATTATATTAACAGAAAGAAGCACTAAACATGCATGGATCATATAGAAAGAAAAGATGAGCAAATGTGTGAGGCTGTAGAGGTGGAGGAATAAAAAAAGAAGGAAGATGTTTGAGTCAGGGCGGTGTTGCTGATCGTAGGGAAGAACACAAAATCAGTACAGTTGCTTGACCCAACAACATAACTTGGCCTCAGTAGGATTAAAACCCACACGTTTTCAGGCTCATTATTGAAAAGTAGATTCAAGGGATGCTGCCTTTTTTTTTTATTCTAGTGCCTCAGTGTGGAAATCCAGAGGGGAAATGACTGCTGCATCCTTGGTTCCAATCCAGCCTCTTGTGAGGGTAGGAAGTTCGCTTGTATATACTTAATTTTGTGTGCATGTGTGAGTAATTGTGAGTAATGTGTGTGTAATTGTGAGTAATTGAGTGTGGACGACCTTGTTTTAATGTACAGATTCTGCGCTGACAGCCAGCCTTGCTACACACACTGCTCCCTGGAGTCTTACTTGACGTGTGGAACAACAAGTTAAATGTAGTCACTTAACCATTTGTCTGCCTGACAATCATGAGTAATATTCCTGAGTTTGTGTCTGCTCTATTGTTGTGCTTGTCTGGTATTTCTTACTGTTGTTACCTATATTGATTTTGTGGTGTCTTAGGTTTTTAGCAAAGTTTTATTTCTCTCACCCGTGTTGAAGGTCTTCAGCCAGTCGCTTGAGGGACTCATTACTAAGATTAAGAGGGTTTCTTCAGTCCTGAAGTTCAGAGGACTGAAGAAGCCACTCGTGGAGAAACGTTTCCTATCATATCATGAACAGTTCATAAATGTCCTGAAAGACTCCTCAGTCTGAAAGACTGAGGAGTCTTTCAGATTATGTAATCAGTCCACCAACTGATTATGTAATCAGTCCCCCAACCTTGTTTGATAGACTGATTACTTCTTAATATGGACTGATGAAGCCACTTTGTGGCGAAACGTCTAATTTATCAACTTGTCGGTTCTCTGAACCATTCATCTAACTTCAGAGAGTAAACACGAAGATTTTTTTCCAGTGATTTATTTATATTTTCACTGTGATGATTCTACACAGTATGTTGTAGGTGAACTCATTAATAAGCATCAGAGAGTAACACGGGGGGTTGAGTAGGGTTCAAAAGGGGTTGAAACCTGAACCATCAGAGTGTAAATACTTTCGTGTTTCCAACCTCAGATTGAACAAATCATGACTAATGTAGTGGTCTACCTACCTGGAGTCTACCTGGAGGGTATTCCGGGGATTAACGCCCCCTCGGCCCAGTCCATGACCAGGTCTCCCGGTGGATCGGGGCCTTATCAACCAGGCTGTTACTGCTGGATGCACGCAGTCCAACGTACGAACCACAGCCCGGGTGATCCGGTACTGACTTTAGGTATCTGTCCAGATCACTCTTGAAGACAACCAGGGGTCGTCTACTACTACTACTACTACTACTACTACTACTACTACTACTACTACTACTACTACTAAGATATAAATGGTTTTAAAAGCGCGAAATGTTAACACAGTAAAGACCGCCCCCTCCTGCTACAGTGGGTGAACCAGGGGGGTCACCGTCCCCTCCTGCTACAGTGGGGGAACTAGGGGGGTCACCGCCCCTCCTGCTACAGTGGGTGAACCAGGGGGGTCACCTCCCCTCCTGCTACAGTGGGGAAACTAGGGGGGTCACCGCCCCTCCTGCTACAGTGGGTGAACCAGGGGGGTCACCGTCCCCTCCTGCTACAGTGGGGGAACTAGGGGGGTCACCGCCCCTAATGCTACAGTGGGTGAACCAGGGGGGTCACCTCCCCTCCTGCTACAGTGGGGGAACTAGGGGGTCACCGCCCCTCCTGCTACAGTGGGTGAACTAGGGGTGTCACCGCCCCTCCTGCTACAGTGGGTGAACCAGGGGGGTCACCGTCCCTCCTGCTACAGTGGGGGAACTAGGGGGGTCACCGCCCCTCCTGCTACAGTGGGTGAACCAGGGGGGTCACCGCCCCTCCTGCTACAGTGGGTGAACTAGGGGTGTCACCGCCCCTCCTGCTACAGTGGGTGAACCAGGGGGGTCACCGCCCCCTCCTGCTAGAGTGGGGGAACTAGGGGGGTCACCGCCCCTAATGCTACAGTGGGTGAACCAGGGGGGTCACCGCCCCCTCCTGCTACAGTGGGTGAACCAGGGGGGTCACCGCCCCCTCCTGCTACAGTGGGTGAACCAGGGGGGTCACCGCCCCCTCCTGCTACAGTGGGTGAATCAGGGGGGGTCACCGCCCCCTCCTGCTACAGTGGGTGAACCAGGGGGGTCACCGCCCCTCCTGCTACAGTGGGTGAACCAGGGGGTCACCGCCCCCTCCTGCTAAAGTGGGGGAGCTAGGGGGTCACCGCCCCTCCTGCTACAGTGGGTGAAAAAGGGGGGTCACCGCCCCCTCCTGCTACAGTGGGTGAACCAGGGGGGTCACCGCCCCCTCCTGCTACAGTGGGTGAACCAGGGGGGTCACCGCCCCCTCCTGCTACAGTGGGTGAACCAGGGGGGTCACCGCCCCCTCCTGCTACAGTGGGTGAACGTATTTCATAACCTCAAAAAATAGAAGAGTAAATAAGTACGATTTCCTGAAATAAGAGGATTGAAATAATGTGGGACGAGGAGTGTGTTGTGTTGTCGACGGCGCGGGGAAGATACTCTCTGGCGGGGGAAGATACTTGCTGGCGGGGGAAGATACTTGCTGGCGGGGGAAGATACTTGCTGGCGGGGGAAGATACTCTCTGGCGGGGGAAGATACTTGCTGGCGGGGGAAAATACTTGCTGGCGGGGGAAGATACTCTCTGGCGGGGGAAGATACTTGCTGGCGGGGGAAGATACTCTCTGGCGGGGGAAGATACTTGCTGGCGGGGGAAGATACTTGCTGCGGGGGAAGATACTTGCTGGCGGGGGAAGATACTCTCTGGCGGGGGAAGATACTTGCTGGCGGGGGAAGATACTCTCTGGCGGGGGAAGATACTTGCTGGCGGGGGAAGATACTTGCTGGCGGGGGAAGATACTTGCTGGCGGGGGAAGATACTCTCTGGCGGGGGAAGATACTTGCTGGCGGGGGAAAATACTTGCTGGCGGGGGAAGATACTTGCTGGCGGGGGAAGATACTTGCTGGCGGGGGAAGATACTCTCTGGCGGGGGAAGATACTTGCTGGCGGGGGAAAATACTTGCTGGCGGGGGAAGATACTTGCTGGCGGGGGAAGATACTTGCTGGCGGGGGAAGATACTCTCTGGCGGGGGAAGATACTTGCTGGCGGGGGAAAATACTTGCTGCGGGGGAAGATACTTGCTGGCGGGGGAAGATACTTGCTGGCGGGGGAAGATACTTGCTGGCGGGGGAAGATACTTGCTGGCGGGGGAAGATACTTGCTGGCGGGGGAAGATACTCTCTGGCGGGGAAGATACTTGCTGGCGGGGGAAGATACTTGCTGGCGGGGGAAGATACTTGCTGGCGGGGGAAGATACTCTCTGGCGGGGAAGATACTTGCTGGCGGGGGAAAATACTTGCTGGCGGGGGAAGATACTTGCTGGCGGGGGAAAAAATACTCTCTGGCGGGGGAAAATACTTGCTGGCGGGGGAAAATACTCTCTGGCGGGGGAAAATACTCTCTGGCGGGGGAAAATACTTTGGCGGGGGAAAATACTTGTTGGCGGGGGAAAATACTTCTGGCGGGGAAAATACTTGCTGGCGGGGGAAAATACTCTCTTGGCGGGGGAAAATACTTGCTGGCGGGGAAATACTGGCGGGGGAAAATACTTCTGGCGGGGGAAAATACCTTGTTGGCGGGGGAAAATACTCTCTGGCGGGGGAAAATACTTGTTGGCGGGGGAAAAATACTCTCTGGCGGGGGAAAATACTTGCTGGCGGGGAAATATACTCTCTGGCGGGGGAAAATACTTGCTGGCGGGGGAAAATACTCTGGGCGGGGGAAAATACTTGTCTGGCGGGGAAAATACTCTTGGCGGGGGAAAATACTTCTTGGCGGGGGAAAATACTTTTGGCGGGGGAAAATACTCTCTGGCGGGGGAAAATACTTGCTGGGGGGGGAAAATACTCTCTGGCGGGGGAAAATACTTGCTTTGGGGGGGGAAAATACTCTCTGGCGGGGGAAAATACTTGTTGGCGGGGGAAAATACTCTCTGGCGGGGGAAAATACTTGTTGGCGGGGGAAAATACTTGTGGCGGGGAAAATACTTGCTGGCGGGGGAAAATACTTGTTGGCGGGGGAAAATATACTTGCTGGCGGGGGAAAATACTTGTGGCGGGGGAAAATACTCTCTGGCGGGGGAAAATACTTGTTGGCGGGGAAAATACTCTCTGGCGGGGGAAAATACTTGTTGGCGGGGGAAAAGTACTTGTTGGCGGGGAAAATACTTGCCTGGCGGGGGAAAATACTTGTTGGCGGGGGAAAATACTTGCTGGCGGGGGAAAATACTGCTTGGCGGGGGAAAATACTCTTGGCGGGGGAAAATACTTGTTGGCGGGGGAAAATACTCTCTGGCGGGGGAAAATACTTGCTGGCGGGGGAAAATACTTGTTGGCGGGGGAAAATACTCTCTGGCGGGGGAAAATACTTGCTGGCGGGGGGAAAATACTCTCTGGCGGGGGAAATACTTGCTCTGGCGGGGGAAAAATACTCTCTGGCGGGGGAAAATACTTGTTGGCGGGGGAAAATACTCTCTGGCGGGGGAAAATACTTGCTGGCGGGGGAAAATACTCTGCTGGCGGGGGAAAATACTCTCTGGCGGGGGAAAATACTCATGCTGGCAGGAGGGAAAATACTCCTGGCGGGGGAAAATATCTGCTGGCGGGGGAAAATACTCTCTGGCGGGAGGAAAATACTCTGGCGGGGGGAAAATACTCCTGGCGGGGGAAAATACTGCATGGCAGGGGGAAAATACTTACTGGCGGGGGAAAATACTCCTGGCAGGGGGAAAATACTCACTGGCAGGGGAAAAATACTCACTGGCGGAGGGAAAATACTCACTGGCGTGGGGAAAATACTCACTGGCAGGAGGAAAATAGCTCACTGGCGGGGGAAAATACTCACTGGCGGGGGAAAATACTCACTGGCAGGGGGAAAAATACTCACTGGCGGGGGAAAATACACTGGCAGGGGGAAAATACTCACTGGCGGGGGAAAAATACTACTGGCAGGAGGAAAATACTCACTGGCGGGGAAAATACTCACTAATGCTCACTGGCGGGGGAAAATACTCACTGGCGGGGGAAAATACTCACTGGCAGGGGGAAAATACTCACTGGGCGGGGAAAATACTTGCTGGCGGAGGAAAATACTCCTGGCGGGGGAAAATACTGCTGGCGGGAGGAAAATACTCTCGGCGGGGGAAAATACTTGTGCGGGGAAAATACTCACTGGCGGGGGAAAATACTCACTGGCGGGGGAAAATACTCACTGGCAGGAGGAAAATACTCACTGGCAGGGGAAAATACTCACTGGCGGGGGAAAATACTCACTGGCAGGAGGAAAAATACTGGGGGGGAAAATACTCACTGGCGGGGGAAAATACTCACTGGCGGGGGAAAAAAACTCACTGGCGGGGGAAAATACTCACTGGCGGGGGAAAATACTCGCTGGCGGGGGAAAATACTGGCTGGCGGGGGAAAATACTCGCTGGCGGAGGAAAATACTCGCTGGCGGGGGGAAATACTCACTGGCGGGGGAAAATACTCACTCTCGGGGGAAAATACTCGCTGGCGGGGGAAAATACTCGCTGGCGGGGGAAAATACTCACTGGCGGGGGAAAATACTTGCAGGCGGGGGGAAATACTCGCTGGCGGGGGAAAATACTCGCTGGCGGGGGAAGATACTCGCTGGCGGGGGAAAATACTCGCTGGCGGGGGAAAATACTGGCTGGCGGGGGAAAATACTCGCTGGCGGGGGAAAATACTCGCAGGCGGGGGAAAATATTCGTTGGCCGTGGAAAATACTCGCTGGCGGGGGAAAAAATACTAGTTAGCGGGGGAAAAATAATCGCTGGCGGGGAAAAAATACTCGTTGGCGGGGAGATTTGTGTGGTAATAAGGTGAGCTCTGAACCTTTGTTATTATCCTCAGGTGTTACTTGTTGATGCTTTCCCAGGATGTTAATTTTGCTGCTTTCTTACAGGTGTTACTTGTTGAAGCTACTTTCCACAGGTGTTACTTTCTGTATCTGCTACTTTCCACGTAATTCCCACAGGTGTTGCTTTCCACATGTGCTACTTTCCACAAATGCCGCTTTCCACAGGTGCTACTTTGTACAGTTGCTACTTTCCACAGGTGCTACTTTCCACAAGTGATGCTTTCCACAGGTGCTACTTTCCACAGGTGTTACTTTCCACAGGTGTTACTTTCCACAGGTGCTACTTTCCACAGGTGTTACTTTTCACATGTGTTACTTTCCACAGGTGCTACTTTCCACAGGTGCTACTTTCCACAGGTGTTACTTTCCACAGGTGCTACTTTCCACAGGTGTTACTTTCCACAGGTGTTACTTTCCACAGGTGCTACTTTCCACAGGTGTTACTTTCCACAGGTGTTACTTTCCACAGGTGCTACTTTCCACAGGTGTTACTTTCCACAGGTGTTACTTTCCACAGGTGCTACTTTCCACAGGTGTTACTTTTCACATGTGTTACTTTCCACAGGTGCTACTTTCCACAGGTGCTACTTTCCACAGGTGTTACTTTCCACAGGTGCTACTTTCCACAGGTGTTACTTTCCACAGGTGTTACTTTCCACAGGTGCTACTTTCCACAGGTGTTACTTTCCACAGGTGTTACTTTCCACAGGTGCTACTTTCCACAGGTGTTACTTTCCACAGGTGTTACTTTCCACAGGTGCTACTTTCCACAGGTGTTACTTTTCACATGTGTTACTTTCCACAGGTGCTACTTTCCACAGGTGCTACTTTCCACAGGTGTTACTTTCCACAGGTGCTACTTTCCACAGGTGTTACTTTCCACAGGTGTTACTTTCCACAGGTGCTACTTTCCACAGGTGTTACTTTCCACAGGTGTTACTTTCCACAGGTGCTACTTTCCACAGGTGTTACTTTCCACAGGTGCTACTTTGTACAGTTGCTACTTTCCACAGGTGCTACTTTCCACATGTGCTACTTTCCACAAGAGCTGCTGTCCACAGGTGCTGCTTTCCACAGGTGCTACTTTCCACAGGTGCTACTTTCTACAGTTGCTACTTTCCACAGGTGCTACTTTCCACAGGTGCTATTTTCCACAGGTGCTACTTTCCACAGGTGCTACTTTTCACATGTGCTACTTTCCACGGGTGATACTTTTCACAGGTGCTACTTTCCACGGGTGATACTTTTCACAGGTGCTACTTTCCACAGGTGCTATTTTCCACAGGTGCTACTTTTCACAGATGCTACTTTCTACAGGTGCTACTTTCCACAGGTGCTACTTTCCACACTGACTACACATCGAGACAGATGTACAACACACCAACCATCTGTCGACAAGTGTCTTTGACAACTGGTAACAAACTAATTAACCAATACATGCGTCTCACAATACACATATACAGAGTTTATATATATATATACGCATGTAGAGTATAGATATAAGTATACAGTGTATACATAATATATATTTAAAACACATCTATCACTCACACTTGTATATTTATATTATATAAACTTGTCTCATCCTCGTTTAGAAGAGAATCCTGGAGAAGAGAAAGTCTGGTTTGGTGTCCCGTAGCTGGGTTGGTAGAGCACTCACCTCACACACTGAGGTCCGTGGTTCGATCCCCGGGACTGGTAGAAACATTAAGACACCTGCTGTCCATGTTCACCTTGCAGTAAATAGGCACCTGGGTGCTAGTCGATTGGTGTGAGTCGCCTCCTGGGGACAAAACCTAATTTATATATAGTATATTCTTATATTCTATGTAGTATGTTACTGATGTCAGATCTGGTCTGTATAAGTTGTATCATGTACTTGTTAAAGTAAGCATTATTATTATTGTTGATGCTTGAGCAAGGCTCTTGTTGCAAGGAACTGGATGCAACCTTCCCCCATCCTCGGATTAAACCTGATTTCATCCCATTTCCGAGACCCCCCCCCCTGTGTAACTACCTCCTCCTCTCTTACGGGTTTGGCGCCTCTCGTTATGAAGGTGACGCAGTAAATTAGGCTTGTCTCACAGCCTCGTTCTGAGACACGTAGCAAAGGTTAGAGCTACAGCGAGACTGTTGCCTCGCTACACATCAAATGTCAAGTACAAAGTCTTGCGTAGGAGAGGCAAGTTAGTTTATTTAGGTACAGGTACATAGTGTAAATTACGTGGGATAACCCTAAAGAGTCAGACAATGGTGCTTATTTCCACTATGGAAATAAGACACTTATTTACAGTTCGGGACAATTTTTAAGGGGGAAAAGATTCGCCACGGCTTGTGTCTTCAGTCGCCACTCGTGGTGAAACTTTTAATCTAATAAATATCCTGATCTGTACTGTCTGTGGCTTTTTCCTCGTCTTATCAGCAGCTCCAGGTCATTTTTCAGTTTACGCGAGTTAGTCCACCTTTCTTATAGTAAAAAACGGATTAATAGCACGTTGAAAACGGGGAAGTTAGTGTAGTTTGAAGGCAAACTTAGATAAAAAAAAATAACTCGTGACAGCTTGTAATAATGTTGGTAGAATTACCGACAATATGTTAGGTAAAAGGATACAAGTGTAACTAATGCGAAATTTTACTGTGGCAACGTTTCGCTCTCCAGGAGCTTTGTCAAGCCGTTACGGCTTAACAAAGGAATTAAAATACTCTTGCATGCAGCCTTGACGATCCTAGTATAGTCGATAGGCTTTCAACCTCATTCACAAATCAAGAGGGAAAAACTGTGAAATACGACTCGAGTTTTGAAACATTATGACTCACGAAATCGCAATGACACGATTGCAAACAACCACTGTACGACCTGGCCTGGAGTTTCACGACTCACCTGCCGCAAGTTCAATCTCCACCCGTACTGTGGTGGAAACATCAAATGAAAATGGTACTTTCTGGCGCATTCTTTAAGCTGATGGTAAACTAGTTCTGCCACCAGGGATTCACATGATTTTTGAGCTGATTAAACCAATGGAAATAAGTCACTTTGACTTTTTGGGGGTTTATGCTGGGTAATTTATACTTATGTTATTGTGTATGATAATTATACTTATGTGTACCTGTACCTAAATACACTTACTAAACCATATCTGATTATTTTTCCGCGGGACGTTAATATATATTCCTGAGTGAGTCGTGCTAAACAGTATATTGATGTGTCGTCCCCAGTGACTCAGCGGTGTTAATATGTATGTATTTTCCAGTGATTCAGCAGTACTGTTGTGTCGTTTCAGTCATTCAACAGTGCTGTTGTGTCGTTTCAGTGAATCAACAGTGCTGTTGTGTCGTTTCAGTCATTCAACAGTGCTGTTGTGTCGTTTCAGTCATTCAACAGTGCTGTTGTGTCGTTCTCAGTGACTCAACAGTGTTGCAGTGTCGTTCCCAGTGACTCAACAGTGTTGCAGTGTCGTTCCCAGTGACTCAACAGTGTTGCAGTGTCGTTCCCAGTGACTCAACAGTGCTGCAGTGTCGTTCCAGTGACTCAACAGTGCTGCAGTGTCGTTCCCAGTGAGTCAACAGTGCTGCAGTGTCGTTCCAGTGACTCAACAGTGCTGCAGTGTCGTTCCCAGTGAGTCAACAGTGCTGCAGTGTCGTTCCAGTGAGTCAACAGTGCTGCAGTGTCGTTCCCAGTGACTCAACAGTGTTGCAGTGTCGTTCCCAGTGAGTCAACAGTGCTGCAGTGTCGTTCCAGTGACTCAACAGTGCTGCAGTGTCGTTCCCAGTGAGTCAACAGTGCTGCAGTGTCGTTCCCAGTGAGTCAACAGTGCTGCAGTGTCGTTCCCAGTGAGTCAACAGTGCTGCAGTGTCGTTCCAGTGACTCAACAGTGCTGCAGTGTCGTTCCCAGTGAGTCAACAGTGCTGCAGTGTCGTTCCCAGTGAGTCAACAGTGCTGCAGTGTCGTTCCCAGTGAGTCAACAGTGCTGCAGTGTCGTTCCCAGTGAGTCAACAGTGCTGCAGTGTCGTTCCAGTGACTCAACAGTGCTGCAGTGTCGTTCCCAGTGAGTCAACAGTGCTGCAGTGTCGTTCCCAGTGAGTCAACAGTGCTGCAGTGTCGTTCCCAGTGAGTCAACAGTGCTGCAGTGTTGTTCACTATGTTAAGATAAACTCCACCATTTCTCACGTTAAATTTTATCTATGCTTATCTTTGCCGTTGCATTATACAATATAAAACATTCAATGGTTTATTTTCAAGGAACCAGCCGTGTCCCACCGAGGCAGTGTCACCTAAAAAGAAAAACCAAAATCTTTCTTTTCAAATTTAGTAATTTATACAGGATAAAGGATAATACACAGTTTAAGATCACTCACGCATGTAAGCAAGCTAGTATACGTATTTATGTATGTAAATAAGGCAGTATAAGTATTTATGTATGTAAATAAGGCAGTATAAGTATTTATGTATGTAATTAAGCCGATGTGTAAGTACTTACACATGATGTGGTAGAGCTGGTGTAGGTGAGCTTGTGTGTGTGTGTGTGTGAGCACGTCCCTCGGCAGCTCCCTGGTCACTGTGGTCTACACTCACCTTCAGCGCCGCCGTCACCCACACACTTCACGCCTTCACACACACATACACCTGTCACACTGTCACGCCTGCGGACTACTGTGTCACACTGTCAAGCTCTGGGACTTCTCTGTCACAGTCACGCTGGCCAAGATCAGGGGAGAAAGTGGAGTGTCATTCGTTTCTGCCCGAAATGTTCCGCCTACCAGTGACTTTCTTTTGTGCTTAACTGCGTTTTGTTAATGCAAAAATATATTTTGTATACTGCAGAAAGAAGGGAATCAGTCCCTCAGCTGAGGGACTGATTATATCATCTTTCGTATATAGTTCTACTGTCTTCCAGTTATGTCCTTGAATTTGTGTTGATAAAGCCACTGGATAAAGATAAATAAAGATACCCAGATGTTGCATATGTGTCTAATTCTTCATCTTGTCGGTATTGTATACCATACATGTACAATGGTGAGTGAGCCTAATTGATGGAGATGTACTCGGTGGGTGAGGCTTGATAGAGACTTACTCGCCTGTATATGAGTACAAATGAACTATATGTGAGTACAAAGGAACTCTTAAGAAGCGCGTGAGTTTCCCTATCTCCTAATTCATGGTATAACTTAACAAATCCTTGAGGACACTTGTGTTGCAGAGGTCTGGACAACACAACTGTCATCTAAGATTTGTTTTAAGTTATACCATGAATTAAGGAAAGATCCTGGACTTCACCTTACGAAACAGACAAAACAAATGCGATAGTAATTATGTACTAGATAGATTATAGTGGAAAAATGAGCGTGTTATTAGAAGACAGGGGGTACCTACGTGCCCCTTAAGCATGGGTCAGTAAGCCTATTGTAATGTTAACAAAAATCCAAATCACGACTTCTGAACAAGTTACGAGAGAGGAAGAAAGGTGCAGAAGATAATGCTGAGAGGTTATTGTAACTCTCCAAGTTCCAACACCACAAAACAGAATAAAGGAATGTTTAGCATCGCCCGACCTCCCTCCCTCTCTCTCTCTCTCTCTCTCTCTCTCTCTCTTTACTACTGGCCAGGATCACACTAGTTCACATGATGGGTTGTAAATAGTCTGGTAATACCCACAAACTGTGGAAAAGGACACTAGTGTACAGTTCGGAACACGTCTTGCCTCTTCATCAGTTCTATGAAAAGTGGGGGAGCCAATCGTGGCGAAATGTTTCCTTCGATAAATATACTCAAGTGTACACAAGTGTCCTTTAAAGAATTAGACACATGTGCAACATCTGGGTATCTTTATTTGTTGACGTTTCGCCCTCCAGTGGTTTTATCAATACAGATTCAATGACATAATGTGAAGACTAGAACTATATACAATCTTCCCATTACATCCTTCATTTTGTACTGATAAACTCACTGGAGGGCGAAACGTCTACAAATAAAGATACCCAGATGTTGCACATGTGTACAGTTGTTCATCTTATCTGTGTTGTACACCATCCATGTACGAGTGTCCTTTGCCACACGATACAGCAGAAGATACAAGTGTCCTTTGCCACACGATACAGCAGAAGATACAAGTGTCCTTTGCCACACGATACAGCAGAATATACAAGTGTCCTTTGCCACACGATACAGCAGAAGATACGAGTGTCCTTTGCCACACGATACAGCAGAAGATACAAGTGTCCTTTGCCACACGATACAGCAGAAGATACAAGTGTCCTTTGCCACACGATACAGCAGAATATACAAGTGTCCTTTGCCACACGATACAGCAGAAGATACGAGTGTCCTTTGCCACACGATACAGCAGAAGATACAAGTGTCCTTTGCCACACGATACAGCAGAAGATACAAGTGTCCTTTGCCACACGATACAGCAGAAGATACAAGTGTCCTTTGCCACACGATACAGCAGAAGATACAAGTGTCCTTTGCCACACGATACAGCAGAAGATACAAGTGTCCTTTGCCACACGATACAGCAGAAGATACAAGTGTCCTTTGCCACACGATACAGCAGAAGATACAAGTGTCCTTTGCCACACGATACAGCAGAAGATACAAGTGTCCTTTGCCACACGATACAGCAGAAGATACAAGTGTCCTTTGCCACACGATACAGCAGGAGAAGATTCATGTCTTACCTCATCACATCCTGTATGTAAATAACACAGTATGTCGTATGTAACATTTTAATACTACATGTTTATTTATATAATTGTCGGTATATTCTACCACTGGTGTAGTTATCTCACCTCGGTAATACAGTTGTAGACTACAACGGTAGTTTGTGTATATGACATAAAATATAGGTTATGGCATTTTATTGTGAAGACGTTTCGCTCACCAGAGACTTTCGGTCTTGGTGGACGATAAATCGTCACAATAAACTGCTAATTAAGTAAGTTTATTTAGGCACAGGTACACGTAAGTCCAATAAATAGACATAGTAACATACGTGTAAATTACGCAAGAAAATCCCACAAAAGGTCAGACAACGTGAGTAATTTCCATTGGGTCCTTGTCGTACCTATTGTGATATTTTATCTAACTTTCCATACCAGTTCCTTGTTTTTATTACTTTAATAAATTCTCCTCCTCCTCCTGATCACCTCAAAACCGCGTCTTCAAGGGTGATGGACTGATTGCATCGTCTTCACATCTCTACTCTTTCTGCCAACTCTTCTGTACTCGACTGAAGAAGTCTACTGTGTAGGCGAAACGTTCGGGAATAAAGATACCTGACTGTTGCATATGTGTCTTATTTATCATCTTATCAGTATTGTTTACCCTTAAATAACAAAAAGGCACAATACCGTGACTGGAACGATACACAAATAACCCCTTTGTCAATGGTCCAAGTCGGACCGAAACGTCGTCGTAAGCTTCTCTCTTTTATGTGCGGGTTATTTGTGTATTGTTTACCCTTTTTATATTCCCAGCTCAGGATATTTATTACACGACACTTGTCGCTACATTTCAACTACTCCGTTATGGAAAACTGGAGGCAATAATAGTTAGAACTGAGTAGGCTGTAAACTCTAACCACACAATAGAGCGGAAAAGTAGTGTGGAGGACCTGGGAGTGGTAATGTCTGAGGATCTCACCTTCAAGGATCACAACTGTCACTGTCACATCTGCGAGGAAAATGATAGGATGCCTAGCCAATGATGATCCTTTTCAAATCACTTGTTCTCTCTATGCTGAAATACTGCTGAACACTAACAGCTCCATTCAAGGCAGGTGAAATTGCAGTTGTAGAGAATGTACAGAGAACCTTTACTGCACATATAAGTTCCGTCAAACACAGTAATTACTGGGAACACTTGGAATCACTTGACTTGTACTCACTGGAGCGTAGGCGAGATACATCATAATCTACACCTGGAGGGTCTAGTTTCAAATCTGCACACAGA